ATACGTCAAGAATCGCACACACCATTTCACTCGCAAGTAAACCATACCCTATGTACTTCGTACACCGTTCCTGGTACGACTGCGTGTGATATATACATTTGTATGTTGTTACTTTATGAATAAAATCTCTTACAATAATGATAGCCCTAACTTTTAAAAACCCGTTATTCAACTATTTGAGCATGTCGTCAACTTGAATTGTCCAATTTTAAACATGGCATTTTGATCTTCCAGATCAGCCGATCACCAAACCCATTATTTAACTTCTTGAACATATCGTCAACTTGAATTATACGTATATGGTATTTCGATCAGATCGACCAATCGCCTACATATCTTAATTACTAAATATATCGCAATTTTTTTTTCTTGAAATTCTCGATACATAGCTGTGGTTTTATTAGTAAAATTTTAACGGTCGTACGAAATGTCAAATGATTTGCATCATATTGAATATAATATATAGTATTTAATAAGTTTGAACTATTAGTAACTCGAAAAAGGTTTAAAATTACTAAATGAAATTCTAGATAAAATATTACAATATATATAGATTTATTTATTCATTTAAAACCCATAATTATTTTATTTAATTTAATTTATTTAACCAAAAGTTTCTTTATTCAAAAGGTTTTTATTGGTTGAAGGGCACCATCACGTGTGTATATATACCATTATGTTTAATAATGAGAATAGAGCATTCAACACGCGCACGAAAGTAAAGTCCACAATAACTTATGTTCTAATTTTTCTGCCTGTATAAGAGTTCTTGTAACTAATCCTTCTTCGGTCATATGCTTACTAAGAATACTGGCAATAGCGCATTATGTGCTAGGACAGTCTCTTCCGCTTTCAACTCTGTACTAAAAATTAATAAATTTGTTGTTCAAGCTGTATGATAGTTATACATTTAGCTAGTGGTCTTCATTCGTTTTCATGTCTAGTTTTAATTGTTGCAGACCTCACTGACTACGAGTGTAATTATCAGTGAAACAGGGTGATTTAACACAAAGATAAAGGTTTGAAAGCTTTTTACTAGTATTTTATCGAAAGCGAAACGGTAAATCTTTTTTTTACTTTTTTTATGTTCCTTATTTACATAGAACTTGACTAAATTAATTTTGTCTTATATGATATTTGATTTCTACCTTAAATGCATCATAATTTATCATACGGTAATTGACTTCTACCTTAATTACTTCATAAATCGATTATATGGTATTTGACTTTTATCTTAATTAGATATCAATATTTTTTATACGCCTCAACGTTAACTATTATCGTTATTATTAACCCGCGATTCAATCGACAATGCACGTGATTACGAGACCACACCTCGAACACAAAACTTATCCAAATGCGATAAGTATCCTTTTTTTTTTGTTTGTTTTGTTTTATTTGTTTGTACGCCACTGATTCTTTAATTCCTCTTCTCAATTCAAGTTCTCATCCACTGTTATGCCGCGTATGATGTATTTTGAATTCTAAATTTTCTCGTGTAACTGATCTTGTCATGATATTAATTTACACCAGTGTTATCGTTATCATTATTATAATTCGTATTATTTATTATCGAACTCTTCTTACGATGGTTGTTCCAATACACTCGAATACGTTGTAATGTCCATCCTTCTTCTCCTTGATCAGTAAGTTGCTGTAAAATTGTCAAAGCTTTACTTTCAGAGAAACTATCATCATCGAGAATTGCTTTAAGAATTTCTTTTTCTTGTTCTGTAGTTCGACGTCGACGTTTTACAAGATGTGTTTCTAAATTTGCATCTAATTCAGTATATGAATCTTTCGTATTTCCTTTATCCAGAGTTCTTTTTTTCTTTTCATTACTGTCATCATTTTTCACTATAGTTGATTCAAGATTTCAAATTTATATGTAGTAACATTATGAGCATGGTGGCCTTTTACATTTTTTGTTTCAGTCTTATAAATTTTTGATTTAAAATATCAGTAAGCCGTGAGATGCCAATATCATAACAAGAAAATAATTTTTGGTATCCAACCTCATTCATTTCTTTTACATATTTAAATATACCTGTTTTAGGTTCTGCTGAAGAAAAAATAACTAACAATTTGGATACTAATTTCCATAATTCTTCTTTATGTTGATTAACCGCACAATCCTTTTTAATAACAATTGTATCTCCCACATATTCTGAAATTAATAAGGATAAGCAATCTATTTCAGCTTGCACAGAAGCTATTTGTTGTTTTAGAGTTTCACTATCTATAGATTTTCCATTAATGTTTTGCTTAGCAAATTTTACTCCAAGTCGTTCAAGAGCTTCATCGAATGCAAAATAATGACTGGGTCGTGTTAAATTAACCGAGCACACATGATGAAGTAATTCTTTAAGCAATGGGTCATTTTCGATGTAAGATAAAAAATGAGTTACAGATTTTGCATAGTTACTTTTCCTGGCAACAGAAAAAAGCAGAGCAAATGCAGCAAGATTTTTAAATTGCATTCGAAGTTTCCTCTTCGAATTCCAACTTTATGGCCAAGCCAATACCCAGCCTATTTAAAGTAACAATACCAAACTTTCAATGCTTTGTTATTACTATTTTCAATACTACTCATTTCTTCCTTTCTATCAGTTAAATATTTACTAATTGCTATACCTACTGCCACCCAGATTAGTTCAAGAACTCAACACGTTGCTTGATAGTCCACTACTTTCTCTAATTTATCTAAATATTTTACATCAAGACTTGCTGCTAAATTAAATATTCCGTAACCTGAAAAAATATTTATTAATATACTACACATTTGTTTCGACGTATGCCATTGACCTAAAAGTGGCACTACTTTTTTTTCATTCATTTCTTTGTATGATATTAATTGCCGAAATATAGCTTTATCACCAACTATATATAAGCGATCCTTATCTTCTAGTAAATCATTATAATACATATCACATGCCTTATAAACATTTTCATTGCAGTTTGGATTGTCTCCAGATCGAAGAATCACAACATTAGGTTGTGAAACTTGACATCCTACTTTTACTTGCTGTGCGATTTTACTAAGAAGATCATTTGCATTCCAATCTTCTAACTGAGCGTTTAGAAAATAATAAAAAGTTTTTTCAAATTTTAGAAGCAAGTCATTAGTAAACATTGATGTACCAAAAATGCCTTGACTTGCAAGTTTGATATCATTATTTTTTATATTAATTATATTAAATATAATATTTCCTGGTACAAATATATGGTTGACATATTTAATGAGTTCTTTATGCCGCAAACCAAAATTATTATCTTCTTTGTATAGCATTTTGTGTGCAGCCAATATTGTATCACATACGCAAAGATATGAACAACAATTGGAAAAAATCGAATGAAAGAAGCACATCCAGAAAGTAAATTATGGAAACATACAAATATGGGTACAAGCATATAGAATATTACGGTGATAGATAATATTGATTTTTTTGAAAAGACTTTTGCATATGGCAATATATTTGATGCTTCACGTAATTCTGCTCATGCTACTTTGAGGATGGTCTTCCAATTTGTCTTATCAATTCAAAAGTCCTTTAACTTCACAAACAATAATGATATCAAACTTGCAAGTCAAGGCATTTTTGGTACA